TAAAATAATCGGAAGCCGGTCAACTTGTTCTGTACCTGTAATATCTGATAACGGTTTTCCATCAAAATGTAGTACATAATTGTCAGTTTCGAGATTAGTCTTCAGATTTAATGCCGCTTCTTTCCGTAATTTTTCCCTTGCTCGGTGAATAGTCACATGACTAAAGTTTACGCTTGCACAATCAATATTCAAGCTAGATAATAAAGCAGCAATAATGTAAGTCGCCATCCTACTAGTCATGTTAGCTCTATCCAAAGCCGCAGCAAGTTCTGGTGTCATTATATCAATTTTTGGAACTTATTGTTTTGGCATTTCATCTTCATAATCAGAGATTATACAAGAAATATTACTTTTCAAAGATTTCTGGGATAATTTAGATGTATGACTTGAAATTTCATGATTAGTAACATCATCAGTCTCAACTGCACAATAATAGTTCACATTGTCATTATCAAACTCTCCGACATTATTATTACTATCATTACCATTATTATTATAGTTGTAATCATTGCTATCAATGTTCTCTTCATTATTATTATCACTATTATTGGTATTATTATCATAATTGCTGATATCAACATCCATGTCTTCGACATCTTCTAAAATTGGTTGAGAATTATATGAAATAAAACCACGTCGACTGGAAGATTTTTGTCCCAAATAAAATAATCTTTTTTCTTTGTCCAGTATATTTAAAACATCCGAATGAGCTACATCAAATAGTTTATTTAATTCATCCTGAAAAACGGATTCCTTTTTTTTTTTTTGAGACTTTGACTTTTTTATTTTACGGTTTTTTTTTGTAAATTCTTCCATCGATTGTGATTTGAGGTTAGTTTCAAAAAAGCAGATCTTTTCTCTCTTGTCGGGATTTGTGCCACACACCAAATTTCAAAAACTTTGTCGATAGTGATTGATATACTTTCTTTAACTGAAAAATTTTTCGTATCAAGATAATAAAATAAAAGCGACATAACCTCTTTCAGAGGGGGTAATTTTTTTCCAACTAATTCACTTAACACATCATCAATCAAGTACACTGTTTTCACCATTATGGTCACAAAATTTATAACTAATATATTTCAACTAATTAAATTAATAATATAACGGATTGAAAAAACAGTCAGTATCAATGAACAAAGACAATGACGAGAAGATATAGTAAAGCGTTGAGAGCAAAGCAACTAAATGAAGTTAGTACCGAACAACCAGGCTTACCAACACAGAGCTTATTAGCCTACAAAACTCAAATTAAATGAGTATAATACTCTGTACCGACAGAGCTAAATAAAGCTCTGTTGATATTTTTCAAATAAAAAACATTTGATCAAGTTTTATAGTAGATTTAATTGATTTAACGTATTTACAGAATTTTCATATTATTTTGAATAATATGCAATGATGAGTGTTTGGTGAGTTTGCGTAATAAGGAACTTTACATTTTCCTCTTACAAAAATTTATAAATTTTATAAAATATAAAATAAATTTGTTATATGAAAGACCAAAAAATCATTTATGTGACATTTTTAACGTTTATATTTATATCTTAGTGCATTTCGTGAGTTAAGTATTGAATTAATTAGTAAAAAAAAAAAAGTTTACAGTCTCAGGTTAACAGAATTAAAGTAATTTTACATAAAAAATAATAAAAATATAGCATATGATATTTTTTTTGTAGTCTTATTGGAAAATATTTGAAATTTTTTATTAGTGTTATCTTTGACCGCGGATATCTTTGAAGCCGTTAATCTGAGGAACTTTGGTCTTCAAACGTTTTTTGTAGAGCGTAAAATTTCCTACAAATATCATGTTTCAGATTGTTGTTACGATGAACCGTTCCAAAGTAATAAAAATTAAAATATTAAAAAAAATTTTTCCCGTGTTATTTAAATGGAAAATAAAGAAATGGATACAGGCAAATCTTACTATTGATATTAAGAGCTCACATGGGCGCCAAAATTTTTGTTTTTAGGTATACTATCAATTTTTAGACACCAAAAGAAAAAAAAAATTCGTCTTTTTTTGAAACACCCTAATATATATGATACATAAAAAATATATCAAAAATGCATGTGGGTACTCAAATGAAAGCTCTTGATGAGTGTGACATCAGGATGAGCTTATATCTTTAAAAATATCAATAATTAAGAAATGACCTTGTATCTTGTAAACTATTGATATTTTTAAAGATATAAATTCACCCAAACATTACGCTCATCGAGACCTTTCATTTGAGTACCCACATCAATTTTTCATATATTTTATATATTTATATTATATATATTATAAATATATATAATATACAGTAGTCACGTATTGACTAATCATATTACTAGCTGCGATGGTAATAATTATTATCCAGATGGTAAATGTAACTATCTGGTTGGTTCAGTTAATAATTTGGATAGTTTTTGCAATCATTCATACTAAGTAGCTGTTTTTACCATACTCGGATAGTTGTATTCATCATTAAATTCTCTCCGTGTACACTGATGAAAAACATACGTTGATTCGAGAGGAAAAATTTTGAACCAAGATCAATGTTTTTAGAGTTTAATCAAGCTTTAATCAAGTAAAATCTACTTGAATCAATTAAAATTTACTTGAATCAAGAAAAAATTCTTAGTTAAAGAATTTATCTGCTTAAATCAAACTTATCAACAATTTTAACAATTATTAAAAAAAAAAAAAAATAACCTCGCTCTTTTGATTTTAAAAACGCTATTTTCACCAATAGTTCTACTCTTGACTTAAAAAAAAAAATCTAGATTAAAGATTTGGTTCTGATCTAAAAAAATAAGTTTAAAAATTGATTATTTGATAAGTTTTGATTATTTACTGAAGAAGTACATTTTTTACAAAATTATATCTTTCTAAAACGTACTGTACTTGTTTTAAAACAATAAGACACTATCTAGAAGTTTCAATTTATGAACTTAAACTGTAACAAAAAAAAATTACTCAATCTAAGAAATTCATAAATCAATTCAAGAAAATTAAACAATGAGAATAAAGGGAGCAAAGATTGCCAGTTAAGAATTACATCAATTCAACCATTTATTTTACTATTTTTAAAAAATACGTTAGTTAAAGATATTACCAACTCGATTCGAAAATACCAATAATTCTCCGATTTTTTTCTCATTTTCGATATCATTGAAAATAAGTCTCAAATACATTTTAGAATGGATTGAAGTAACAATAAGTTCTTTATTATTCTTTTTGCTAATTCAAATGAAAAAAATTTTTTCTTGAATCAAAAGTATAAAATTCTTAAATTAAAACGAAATTATTGTTAATTTTAAATATATTCCTTGTAAGGTATGAGCCCTAGTAGCTGCTCATGTACCAATACATGCTCACTCCATTTATTTGTATTCACAAATATAGATATACAAATACATGGAGTGAGCATGTACTGGTACATGAGCAGCTACTGGGGCTTTTACCTTACTGCTATTATCATTTTCATTATTATTATTATCGTTGTTGTCATAATTACAATCGTTTTTGTATTCCATTATAATTGTATCACTTAAATTGACACCTTTAAATGTATTACAATCAAGTGACCTTGTTATGGGCTGAATATCTGCTTAGTCTTATACAAATAAATAAATAACACAACCGATTCTCTTCAAAATAATTTTTTTTTAATCAAAAAAATTTTTTCTAAATAAAATAATTTTTATCAGTGAAAGAATAAAAAATAAAAAAGCTGAAGATTTTGAAATAAGAGTACAATTTTCTATAAAAAAATCTTTTTTTAACAAAAAGGTAAATCATGTAATCATTTATGTATCAACGCCGATACGACTCATGTTCTCTTATCTTGTATGTATGTGTACCAGTCAGTGTTAGTTATATAGCATGAAATTTAAACGTGGAGCACTTAACCCTCATTGAGTAACAAATAATATCACTTGCAACAGGCACTATAATGGAGGTTGATGCATTTAGCCATTTAATTTGTTTACTAGCTGGCGTTCTATACTCACATCTACTATTACTCCACTACCGTACAGGTGGTAGTATATAAATTTATATCTATATATTTATGCATAATAGTGTGGTGATGGCTTATTTTACCTCTACCATGAAGCTATTCAGGTCTACTGGTGGGCACTTTACGTAAATTAAACTAACCAACAAATAATTGTTAGCGCTACTGATTTAATAAAACGTTCGTTCACGGGATGGAACGGAGTATGGTATATGTATATTTAAATTTGTAAATACGTTGTTTAAAACTAAAGTCGAGTACGGTGTAATTTAAAGAGAAAATATTAATAAAAAAAAAAAAGTAAAAAGAATATGAATTATTTAAACTTATTTAAATAATTTTTGCTTTCATAAAATTTTTTACAAAGAAACGACGATGAGAAAACTTTCTCTGTATAATAATAATGGGCGAGGATCGCGGTGAGTAAAATCATTTGCATGACAAGAAAAGTACCGGTGGTTATACTTTTTTAGATAATTAACTAATAAATAATAAATGCTTTTTAGTGGTTGGGTATGACGAATTTTTTCTTTTTTTTTCTTTATATTACCTGGTTAAGTCATCGAGATTCATTACGCTTGGGTAGCACAAAAAGATTACTAAGTCTGATTCTGGTATGTACAACATTTGACCCTGTAAAAAATTAATTGTTAGTTAGCAATCATTGATTTTAAAATAATTAGTAAAAATAAGTGAGATTTAATTTAAATTATTTGATTATTTCCGTTTTTTTTTTTTTTTTTTTTTTTTTTTTAAAAGAAATATTTTGTCAAAGAACTCGGCAGTGTTTCGCGCCAAGTATACGTTCAAATATATGATATTTTTATCAGAAATTAATATTTTGTTTATAATTATTATGATAATTAGTTATTTAAACGAATGAATACATTTTTTGACAGTCATCATCCGCCATTTTGTCGTCGAAAAAATTATTGAAGGACCGTAATTTAACTTGAAATTTTTAAGAAAAAAAAATTTAAGGAAAGTAAAATAATAAAAAAGTTTTCGAGAAATTTGAAAATTTGTAAAAATTATAAAATTCACCTTCAGACGTAAATTTGAAAATTCTTCGGAAGCTTCAACTTGCATGACACCTTTTCTCGTTTTCAACACATAAACGGTGTTGATGTGAGACAATATATTCTCGAATGTCAGTTCCAAGTGTGGTCGTACCTAAAAACAATAATTCATGTTTTGATTAATTTCAAATAATAAAAGATAAAACTAATAATTTTTCAAAAAATTTAAATGACACAATAATTGCGAATTAATAAACAAATTAGTTTCTATAAATTTTATTTAAATTACGATACTTTTTTTGCTCCAAATTTCAACGGAAATTTCTTTTTACTAAACAATTTTATTAATAAAAATTAAAATTTGTACATTGTATAGCTTGAAACAATACACAAATCGATATTTTACTAAAATTATGAAAAGACTCCTTGACACAGGTCAACAACAAGCATCGCCCTATTTTCTTTTCCTTGACATTATCACGATACTATCAATAATTGAAACTTTTCAATTTAATGATTATAATAACAACGTTAAAAAAGAAAAATCTAATTAATTTTAATTATCTTTCACATCACAAGTGATAAGTGATAGTTGATAAGTGATAAATATTAAAAAATAATTTGGACATTTATTAGTGATTTAATGACGGTTTAATAATAAGCAAACAATGTAAATTTTATTGAATTTACCGTTAGAAGTATGTCATTGAGTTTACAATTGCCACTCGTAACTTGGGGTATGACTCGTGTGATTGTGCATCCAGTTTGCACAATTGTCAGGTCACGATCGAACATCAAGTGAAACGGGAAAACACGACAAAATGTCATTGGACTTACTTTTGGCTCTACAATCGAAATATTATTATTATTTTATTTATTTTTATTATTACTGTATTCAAAAATAAAACTCACCAACAGATAACGTTTCAAGATCGGCAATCATAGGATTTGTAGCAACACCCGGTGCTGAAGTATCAGTGATAAGAAATTGTACATGGTCACACTCTTCTTTAGTTTTTAAAATTTGAACATCAACGTCAGTTCCATGGAGCCTTTTAGCAACTGTCTATATTAATAATAAAATTTATACAAATTTTTTTTTTAATTTGAGAAAAAGGAAGTAAACTTACTTTAACAATCCCAATTACAATGTACTCAAGACCCGGTCGATCTGAATAGTAATGTAGTACCAAGGCACCATCCTCTGGTCTTTCCGTGCATCGAAATGACGGCGCTCTCATTCCCGGGTAAAGTGTACCCAAGTGATCATGTAAAGCATCTAAATTCTGTAAGTATTTTTTATTCATGAAAAAGAGAATCGAAATTTTAATAATTTGTATAATTTTTCATGATATTGAATTCGAACCATCAATTTACGAATCAAGACGCTTCAAAAAAAAAAAAAAGATTTGTATTGAAAAATAATGTTTGAGATGTCTTAAAGGACAAAAAATGGAATTTGTTATATTGAGATTTACTTAAATATATTGAATGATCAAGGATAGTCATTAAATTCAAAAAGTTTTTCCTTAAACTTTGTTTTCCCCTAGGAGACTACTCCTGCTTGGGATGATATTTTATATCCTGTAATGTAATGTGATTGCGGCGACTGAGAGGAGACTTTCGACGGGGAAATAAATTTGTTGGCTTTAAATAATAGGCGGTGTAATGTAATTAACGAATATATTATTTTTATTATTTGATCATTAAAGTTTTGATATTTTATTATCAATGTTATTTTAATATTTCAACATAAAGGTCAATTTAAAAAAAAGGATGCAATGGCGACTACAATGTGAGTGCTGAGTGAAAAATTTTTCATTTAAAACTTTTATACTTCATTTTTAATATTTTAACATAAAGGTTGATTGAAAAAGAAAGGAAGCTAAATTATTCCTTGCAGCAGAAAAAGTATGTAAGAGTTTGCATAAATATTGAAGAATAAGAATAAAATATCGAGGATAAAAATAAAATTTTTACAATAAAAAGTATTTTTAAAATAAATATTTTCTTAAGTTTAGTTTTGAATAGCCCGCCGTTACCTAAGAGAAATTCTACGCTAAGATTTTCAATATGGTTCTCTGCGTTGGTCGTATGAAAGGATTGAAAAAAAAAAATTGGATTAAAAAATTAGATTTAAAAAAAATTATCATGTTTACAAGCCCATTAACTCTTAAATTTCTTAAAACTAATTTTGTACAAAAAAATTAGAAAAACAGTTGACCCTGAAAGCTATCCCTGCAACTTCCCGCTGATTCCATACCTATTAGGCGCTAAAAATTGCACTTATGACGTTTTTGAGCTCTTCGAGCTTAAAAAGATGATTTATGTGCTATTTTGAGCTCTCCGAGCTCAAAGAAATAGCTGTACTATGCTTTTGAGCTCTTCGAGCTCAAAAGTCCTATCAAAATTCAATAAAACACGATTTTTCTAATTTTCAAACTGCTGTAACTTTTTAATAAATCAACCGATTTTCATGCGGTAGGCGGGGATCGATGTGGTTTTTTGAGCTCTATAAATGATTCTGAACAAAAAAATTGATCTGATGAAAAATTTCGGAGTTATTACAAAAAAACACTTTTTTCGATTTTTTTCGACAACGATATCTCACGAACGCATCAACCGATTCTAACGCTCTATGTGGCGATCGATGCGAGATTTCAAGGTTAAGAGCTGATTAGTTTTTGAAGTTGATCGGTTCAGCCAATTCGGAGATATTTAAAAAAAATAAAAAAAAAAAACAACTTTTTTTTCACTTTTTTTGCAATTTCTCGAAATCTACTGTTCCGAATCGATTCCAACTTACAGGAAATCTAAGTTTGGCGAAGCCCTTTCGAATGACACCAACCGCGATGAAATCGGTCAAGCCATTTAGTTCAGAAGTTACGAGAGGTTTACATACAGACACATATATACACACACACACACACACACACACACACACACACACACGCGCGCGCGCGCGCACACACACACGCGCAAACACACACACACACACACACACCTGCGGCAGAGGAGAAACTGCTACCAGGCGCGTCTCCCCGCAGCGGATGGGTTGACACTCGCTGTCCTTGGATGACACTTGGATAATCTCCTAGTTGATGAGGTACAGAGGGTAGGAGTTGAATAAAATACGCTCCCGTGGACAAAACTCCCCTTTAATGGGTTGGTCACACTAACTGACCTAACAAGACGAGGGTAACGTTGTTCGCGTCCGTAGGTACTGCTTTAACACCCTACACGTGCTCTCCGGGTAGTGCTAAATGAACAACACCAACAACAATATGGAAATGTCAGAGAACACTGAAACATTGTCTACAGTACAGAAGTTGGATACCTCAGTGCCGGCGAGGGAAGGCGTGAAAACGGACCTGAACTCGTCGTTATCAAGCGACCGTTACGTCAGCAGGGTGGACCCCATGGCCCTGCTGTCTGGAAATGCTACAGGGAGTACACAACAGAGAGCAATTGACAAGAGTATTGATGGGCCTCATGCCCAAGAAGCGGCGATAACAGCAAGCGCCGAAATGAAGAGAACAAAAGCACTGGAACGCCTTGAAAAGCTGACCATTGACTTGCAGGATTTCGTCCTATCCAAGGTCAATATTCACAAGGAGATCAAGACAATGACGACCAGCGTAGTCAACGCCCTGCAAAGATTTAAAACACTGGATAAGGATTGGCAGGCAACACGACGACGACTAACGCCTCGCATTACGCCAGAGAAAAGCAGTCAAGCTGTTATTGAGACTGAGGAATCAATGGACACCGGTGTCGATGGGGACAGCGAATCTATTGCTGAAGACAAGAGTGAAGGTGCTCCCAAGACTAATAAGAGGAAAGACCGAAACTCGCCAGATCCAACAAAAAGGCGAGTGGCAAAGAAGAAGGACCAGAAGCCAAGTCCTCCGAAAGACGCGACGAAGCAGAACGCCGAAAAAAAAGACACAGCTGCCTGGCAAGACGTCCAATCAAGGAAAGAGAAGAGGAGACTAGCCGAAGAGCAGCTCCTAAAGCAGACTTCGAAGGAGCCCAGGCCGGAGCGTAAGCGGGAAAAACCCCGCAAATGGATCAGACCCGACGCACTGATCATTCACCC